CAGCAGGAGTTGTTATTAATTTAGAAGATATTTCATGATTTACAAAGATTTATTTTTAATTACAGATTGCATGACTGAGCAAACGTGTTATAAAACTATCAGTCAGTTATATCTTTGAAGTTAATAACCAGTTTTTCACCAGTAAGCATATAGAACTTAACTGTGGTAGAGTTATAATTATGTGCTGAATATTTAATAACGATATTTGGTGTCCATATTTGCTGATCTTTACACTGCTTATTTTGAGTAGCCTGGGAGCTACATACTCCAACATGAGACTTAATTATCCTTTTAGTTTCTCTTTGAAATCTACTTATCCCTCATATTTTGTGGCAATAATTATAAAACCATCTTGCTTAATTAGTTTGCAAGTGCCAAACAGGATTATAATTCAGTCCTTTACTTATTCGTAAGAAAGCAGCCATCTTTGCTTGCTTTCATATTTAAGCAATGGGCATCGGCCTAAACCTAAAACTTGGGAGTGACACAGGCCTGAATTAACAGATACTTAAAAGCAGGGGTGAATTTCTGGCTTCATTTGAAGTGAAGTTAATAACAAACTGACTGGAGTGGGGCCAGAGTTTTGCCTGGATACAAAATTTTATTTTGAGTTTATTTCTACTTATAAAACAAAAATAAAAAGGGAAGGAAGTTGCTGTTCTTATGCTAGTGTATAATTACAGTATAAACTTTCAGCCAAAGGACTGGTCTTCCATATTTGTTTTATTTCATATTAATATGTTATTTACTTATGTAAAGACATATTACAGTAATAATGTGTTTATTGACCCTCAAGGACATTAAGGTCTGGAAATCAATGTTGCCAATGTGAACAGACTATTTAACATTATTTTATTGAGTATAGAAATATTTTATCATGTTACACAAAAGATATACATGAATGAAAACAGGATTTCTGTACATCTTGCCCAAAGATTTCATTTCTAATAATTTTGTTTAATGTTGTATATATAACTTATTATATGGTGCAATATAAATATATAAATAAGCTAATAAAATTAAGATATGAAATGTGCTAATGTTAGTCATTTATTCATTTAAATTACTTATTGTCTTACAGGTCTGTAATTAAATGTAATCAGGGACTAGCAAGCACACTTGTTGTACAGAAGGTCTAGATAATATACATGAAGGAATCTGTATTCTAGTAAAATACTGTTGGTGGTGGTTCTGGCAGCTAAAGTACTTGGCTAGGCAACAGGATACTTGAGTTCTAGACCATCAGGGAGTAAAATATCACATCTTCCTTCTGAGAGTGAGCAAAACAGCAGGCTAGGATGAGGATGCTCTCCCACCCCTTCTATTGAAACTGGGCGACTATGCAGCAAGAAATGCAAGATTCATGGGGTCAGGAAGAGATAGTCTGCAAGAGGGAGCCTGGCTATAAACCTAGAAGTTTAAAAGCTCACCCAAGATGCGATAGTCCTGGGTACCGATCCATTTTTTATTCACTGACTATTTAATAGAAAGCAAAAAAAAGCAATCCAGGGAGTAGGGATGAGAACCTAGAACTCCTCCCTCTTCAGTTTGTGCCCTGACTATTAGGCTTTCACAGGTGGGGTGCCAGGTATCTAAAAATTCTAGTTATCTGAGGCAGGGGCTTTCAACCTCTTTGAAAACCCCTGCGGAGCTGGGTGGGGAGAGAGGGGAGTAGGGGGGACGGCTGCACACAGAGTGGGGGTGGACGGGGGCGGGGGGCAGCAATTGCACGCAGAACAGCAGCAATGCAGGGCGGTGTGAACTCCCCTCCACCCCCCTGCATCTGGCAAGCCGGCCAGGAATTCTGGTTAATAGAGTATTCCAGATAGTAGAATGCCAGTTAATGCGGCTTTTACTGTACATCTACTTAGGTTAGTCTATAAGGTGCGGCTCTACCCAGACTAGCATGAGGATCTATGTCTCTACTAGGCTATAGTCAGGTTTCATTTTTGCTTCCTTTGCCTGGCCCCATAAATCATCTCCTCTTTGCTGCACAGTGGTAAAGCATCAGTGGGAGGGGTGAAGACTGCCATTTTCCTACGTATTTGCCTGTAATCAGGCAATTAAGTCCCTTACTTGGAAGATGAGAGATACGGGTTTGAATCTCCTCAGACTGAGGGGGGCACTGACCTCTCAAATTCCTGGGCACTAACTGTTACATAAGGTGGATGTGGTGGCAGTGGTGGCATAACCACTAGCCATGTTTTGAAAGAAAAAAAACATTTACCTCCTATGTGGAACAGTTGTAGGGGTCTCCAGGATCAGGATAATGAATGGAGGAGACACACGCTCTAGTCCCAATTCAGGCACCTAAGATAGAGTGGGAGTTAAAATACAAACCTGAGCAGAGCACTGGCTAGTTCTGAGGCAGCCCCCTGCTTTGCATGCAAATTTTTTGGATCACCCTTCCAAAATACCTACCACATTTTCTTACATATCATACCCTCCCAAATAAGACGCACACCTTGTTTTTAGAAGACAGAGGGTGCATCTACACAATACACTTTACTGCAGCGTTGACTAATTAGCAATGCAGTAAAACGTCACTGTCTACATGTGCGCCCCTATTAGGCTGGAGTAAAATAATTAACTCCACCATAGGATAGTACTGCCTGACACAAGTACTATCCTATGGCAGACTTATTTACTGTGCCACAACACACCTGTAGATGGTAACCTGGGATGGCTGAGCATGAGGGTCTTAGTGTGGGGGCTGCCTGCCGATTAACCCCGCACTGTAGCACCCTCATGCCCCTGCCAGCCCCGTGATATTAATGTGATGCATTGCTCCCAGGTGCAGCATTTTTCTGTGTGCCCTCAACATGCTGCGGTCCTGGGCACACAGGTAAAAGCTGTGTTCAGGAACAATAAACTCTGGTGCGAACTGTGCCAGTGTTTATTTCATTGCATTCACATCACATGTAGATGCACCCAGAATGTAGAAAAAAAGATTTTTTCCAGAGCCGTAAGTGTAAGATCTGACCACATGCAGCAGCTTACTTGCCCTCATCCAGCTTGCTAGGCACTTCAGGCAAAAGCTACAGTGTTACCCCTTCACAACTGCTGCTGAATTCACCGTGGTTTTTGGCTGTTCAGCCAAAAGCTACCACCAATTTGGCAGTAATTATGAGAGGGTTAAAGCTGGACTCTACCCCAGATGCTTGCTAGCCTGGACAGAAGTGTTACATACAGTGTCTTCTATGCTTCTATTCTGGTAAAGAAAACCAGCTTACCAAACATTTTCCATGTGGAAGGAACTTGAATGCGTCAGAAAATGAAGAAATACTTTTTGTTTATGATTTACATTATATATTCATTATTTGATTCCATGAGTATAATGAATTGATGCTCCTTAATAGCTAAGGGTAGGAAAGACTGAAAAAAGTAATCTATTAGGATTCATTTGCCGAAGGAATAATGTTTAACCCAAAACTTAGTCAAAATTAATTGTGTTCAAAACATTGCTTTCATTAAACAAGAGAAACAAACCAGAAAACCAAGATTCTTCTATAGTTTCAACAATGTATAGGAACAGAGAACTGGAAGGGGCTTCTCATGCCATCAACTCCAATCCCTTGCATTTACAAGGAACCTTTTATTCAAATGTGTGGAATCAGAAAAAATATATGCCTTAAACTTTGATTATTTTAGTTATAAGATGACATAACCGCTTTGTGGAGAATTGCTGGCTCTGTATAGTAGAACAGATAAGAGAAAGTGTTTGTTCTTTGTAACTCCTCTGCA